AGCAACTTCCAGTCCTGCATGCTTTATTTATGGTAAGTGCCTTACACAGGCGTCCCATTTTTTAAATCTTTTATATCATATTTTATTGTACTTTTCACAGGCGTCCCATTTTTTAAATCTTTTATATCATATTTTATTGTACCTTTTCTATGTTTAAATATGTTTAGATATACAAATATTTATTTTAATATGCCTTTTCTATGTTTAGATATGTTTGCATATACAAATATTTACCACTGTGTTCCAGTTGCCTACAGTATTCAGTACAGTAACATGCTGTACAGGATTGTAGCCTAGGAGCAATAGCCTGTACTAGCAATGGTCTAGGTGTGCAGTAGACTATACCATCTAAGTTTGTTTAAGTATAGTCTATGATGTTCACACAAAGACAAAATCACCTAACGATGAATTTCTCAGAATGGATCCTGTTGTTAAACAATGCATGACTGTATTTGAAATGATACATAAGCATATCCTTTCTCCTAGATCCAACATAGTCATTATTTCCTCCAATACTGAAACAGACCTATGTTGAGGGCTATGTTGGAAGATAATACATTTATCTTTTCACACTGTAATCTCAATCAGTAACAGAAATGCTACAAGAAGTGTTCGGGATCTACAGGCACAGCAGATTCAAGCTTCCTATAGCATGTACACTGTGGATCGTAGCTTTACCGACCAGAATGGAGGCAGTAAATTTCTATATTGAGTGTAGAAGTACAAATACAAGGGGAAAAACTATTAAGATAGTGGCAATAGTCAGCAAAGTCACATGTGCCAAGTCAATAAGAACAGTCAAAGGAAAAACTGGGTGTTATAATGGATTCGAGAGAAGGAAAGACTTGGGATTCCAAAGATAGTCCTAGAAAAGGACTAGGAGTTAATTTTACAATATTATGATACTGGATGTAGTTTTGTAAAAGGATGTTCCATGTTACACTAAGAAAGACAGGAAGTGGCAGCAGAGGGGACAGAGAGTGATGACAGGAATGATGGCGCAGAGTATAGGAGTTCTGTTATAATTTAAAAGTGAGCAAAAGAAACAATCAAATGCAGCTGTCATTATCTTGTTAGCTTAGAACTAACAGTGAGGACACTATTTTACATATACTAGTTTACATATAAGGAAAAAGAGACATACAGAAGTTAAACTCAGTCAAGAAAATACAGGTCTTTCATTACAGGAACAAATGGAGTCCAGCTACAGCATCTGTCCTTTTAACCACTACACTCAAATGCCTCTCTCATTCTAGTGTCCCCTTAAATAAGCTGAACCACACAAAACTGCGACTTTTGCAGGTAAAAATGATGAAACATTATCAATTTCATACAGTTGAACACAGTAATTATTCCTAGCTCTTCTCTCCTACTAAGCCAAAGTTCCTGGAAGAATTCTTCAACATGATTCTCTCATGGCCTCATTTCCTATTCAGTCTTCAACCTGAAGAAATATGGGATTTTCTCTAATCCCCTTCTCAGTCTCTTCTTTGTTGCTAAATACATTAGAGTTTTTAATCATTGTCTTGCTTGATCTATCTGCGACATCTGAAAATACTAACTAAATCCTTCATTCTTTAAATGCCCTAATTTATTTGATCTTTCCTACCTACATTCTGGGAAACTCCTTTTAATCAACTTTGAAGACTACTTTTCTTCAGTTTTTCCCTTAAACGCTGATATTCCTCAGAGTTTTATCCAAAGGCTACTTCCTATTGCACTTCATATGATCTCCCTGAGTGATCTCTCCTACTCCCAAGGTCAATTACCACCTAATACTGATGAAACATAAACCTTTACTTGCAGCAGAGATCTTTCTTCAGACCCATCTCTCCACCTGTATTTTTACTTTAACATTCCACAGACCCTTCAATGTGTATCCAACTGAATTCAACACTAACTTCATTTTAATAAACGTCTCAGCAACTGACACCACCATCAAACCAATCACGAAGAAACAGACTTTGACCACCCTTTATTTTTCAGCCCCTCTATCCAAACCAATTCTTTACATTTTACTTGCATATTTCTATTAGTTCACTTTTCCATGTCTGCATCTCATTATTTCAATTCAGGTCACCATAACTTCTCTCCTGAATTGCTACTCTAGCTTCTAGATGGTCTGCCCATGTCTTATATATCTCTCTAATCCAGTCTCCAACAATGCAGCCACATTATGCTTTCAATGAAATTCCACTATTATGCTTTCCCCCTTTTAAAACTTTTCAATGATTTACCATTGCTTTTAGCATGAAGTCCAAACTTCTTAATATGGTTTACAAGGTATGTGTGATAAGCCTCTATCACTGTCGTTAGATCCACTTTTCTTGATTCTTTCCCTTTTATTATATCTGCAAGCATGCTTAACTTCTACCTATTTAGATAAACATTCCTCTTTCTTGTCAGTCTTTGGATATGTTGTTTGCTATATTCATGCATAATTCTCTACAGATTATAGCTTCTTCTTCACTGAATCCCGGCCATATTCTACTTACTTGGTAGGTCTCAACTAATATGCCCCTTCCTACTGAAGACTTCCATGACCTCTGTAGACTTCTTTAAGTTCCCTATCCTAAATATCCTGAATTCCTAAAGTATAATTTACTTCCCTTCTCATTGTGTTTCAAAGATTCTATGGAAATTGCTTATTTAATTGCCTGTATCTCCTGATCCCTCCTCAACCTAAATGTAAGCCTCAGATAGTAATGAAAAGCACAGATAGTAAGAACCTATTGGACCAATTGGACCAAGTCTGTATTGTTTCTTCTTTATTCCCTATGTCTAATGTATGCTTAACAAACACACATGCTATATATATATATGCATATATATATATGTGTGTGTGTGTATATATATATGGATATCAACTCATATACATATACATGCACACATACACACATGCTACTCATTTTACTTAAAAGGAAGACATTTGGTTTATTGCA